GATAGATAGATAGATAGATAGATAGATAGATAGATAGATAGATAGATAGATAGATACTGTACAACATCATCATAATAGCACTGCAATTCCAAGCACATATTTTAAAAGAGGCAACATTCTAATGTTATGAAGAAATGCAAACCCAAAGTATATACATGATCAGAGCCAGTGTGGTGTCATGGTTAAGGTGTTGGACCACGACTGGGAAGACCCAGGTTCAAAACCATTCTCAGCCACTCAGGTGGCTCTGGGCTCCACACAATCTCATATGCTAAACTACCTCACAAGCTTGTTCTTGTGGGGAATAACTAGAAGAAGGCGTGCTAAGTGTGCTGCTTCAGCTCCTGAAGACAAGTTGGGACATAAATCTAATTAATCAAAGAGTGGCAGCTCTGTTGGCCATAGATAGCACTACAGTAATACTATGATTCCCATAGCAATAGAAAGCCCATTATCAGGATGATTAGGAATAGTAAAGTCGTTGCAAGCCAGAGAAATTGGAAGCAAAGCCACTAAGCCAGCCACTTATTGGTCACTTGTTCAACTTATTTGACTTAAAGCAAATCTGGGTCTGAAGATCCTATATTGCAGTGAAATCTGACCATAGCTATGGTACCTAAGAGTACCAAAGGGAGGTAATTTTTTACAAATGATAAAAAATGTACATTAATTGTAATTTTTACAAATTACTAAAAATGTAATTTTTTTTCTTGATCATCATTTACCAGTTATTCGTATTTACGCTTTGCAGTTCTTATTTCATTTATTTCCACAAAACCCCTGTGAGCCCCATGCTGAGCAATGACCCGAACCACATTAAATCAACACTAGCTGTGCCAATGTTTTGGCTCAGATAATGTAGATAAATCAACCAGAAGAAGCAATCTACATCTTTGCCTGGAAGTTCAGATGTTTGCCTTCTAGGTTGCAACTCCAAATCCCTGTATGAGCTCTGACTTCCTGCAGAAGCTGCTGAATTTCACCTTTCCTAGGAAATTTTCTATTTTGTTACACATCTACTCATTGACTTTAAAAACCTTTGCTGAAATAAAGGCAAGGTTCCTGAAACAAGCAATTTGTGGACTGCTGCCATGGTCCATATGGGACATAAAAACAGAGAAGGGCAGACTTCAAACTTGCAAGAAATACAGTGTTTCTATCACCAAGGGATTGGGTAAAAAATAGTAGGAAAGTCAGTATCAAACATTTGATGCAGTTAGAATCAAGAAGGAAGCTGCCTTTTTGCTGTCATACTAGAACAGAACATATAGTTCTCTCTTTCTTAAATGAAAGCATCACTCCTAGTTTTCTTCATCTGGGTACATTAATTTAAGTTGTAGATTCTTTTATTGTTACCATGCTTAAGCTGGTGGGAATCAGAAGCCACTGTATATCTATCACAATTCACCATGAAATCTACCAAGAGATCCCAATTTACTTTCTGCCTATTTGCTTAAGAATATTTTACCCAAATTACTGATCTATTAACAGTTGGTACCTTTAGCCATCTGTCGTAACCAAGATAGTTAAAACACAGCAAATAATTGTTTCAGTATGTTGGTAGATAAAGTGGAGATTCTGATCAGCATGATGGATTATAAGCATCAAACCATCAATGCAGGCTCTCTCTTTAATGTGTGTGTGTGTGTGTGAGAGAGAGAGAGAGAGACAAGATCTTGCTAAGTAGTCCAGGCTTCCCCATTTTGTTAAATCAGACTGATAATATGCAAAAGATCCCACCAAGACTGGGTAGATTACGCACTTGGTAATAGCAGCATGATATGGAAAATCCTCTTAACCCTGGAGAAATCTCCCTTATAGTCTGGAATTGTTACTAACTTCAAAGGACAGAGATTCTGCCCAGTGATTACTCAGCTCAGAGAGCATATTAGTGGATTATACTTACTTGCATAGGCAGGTTGTTAGCCATTGTGAAACTAGGCATGGGTGGCAAAGCACTGTATGTGTTTGTTAGCGCGGTGTCTGTTCTGCCCAGCATTGAACCTGATGTGAAAGAGGAAACTATAATAGAATAGATAGATAGAGAGGATGGATGTATTAGTTACACTTTGATCAGATGACTGCATTACTTTTGGCAGCATTCCCCGACTTGGTGACTCCCAGGTGTGTTGGACTCTGTCTCTCATAATTTCCAGCCAATGCATTTGGAAGTCTCCATGTTGGGGAAGGTTGCAGGACAGTGTTCCATGGTATTGCCCAGAAAGGGTGAGTAATTGCTTGATATACTTCTTAAAGCATATTACCCGGTGTTGTGGGTTGTGGGATCGGTTGGTAGACACTTGTGCTAAAACTACTGCTGATGGGAATGTGACTTGGGGTGTTGCTGGCTTGTCTTCTCTGGTTTCTTAGTTTCTCTTCCCGTCTCCACTTTGCCCTCCTGTTGGAAAACCATACCTGCAAATACAATATATTTCCCATTAGTCCAGGGAGGAGAAGGTACCAGCCTACAATGCATCATACAAAGGAAAAGACTCAGTGGTTCTCTAGGGCTGTAGTACTAATAGGAATCATTCGGGGGGGGGGGGAACGATCTTCATGAAGAACCCACTGCCACATTTTTCATCTGTTACCATATTGATTGGGGCAAAAAGTTTAGCAAAGGCCATACATGTACCTAAACTTCCAACTGTGGTGGACTTTCCACATGGGAAGTTTAGGTACATATCTACTATAAATCTGAATTACAACATCTCTCTAAATCTAGATGAGTTCTAGGTTAAAAGTGAGCATGTATGCTACTTGCTTTTGGTGAGATGCAGATAGCTTGATTGGAATCTGCATATTTTTATTTCATTTTATTGATTATGTATTATTGAATTTACACCCGGTTTTTTAATTATTTCAATACTATAGGTGGATTGCAATAAAAGAAAATATGGAGTACCAAACAAAACAACCCTAATATAATTAATATAATTAAAATCAGAATTAAAAGAATTCATTAAAATTATTAACTATTAAAAGCTAGTGAAAGAGATGCACTTCTACCATCTTCTTGAACATGAATGCACCCTTGTACAGAGAAGAAAAAGAGGAAGCATATAGTAAGATAGGAAAAGTCAAAAAAAATACTGTATAGTCACTTGAATACCTGTATTCTTGCTTCAGGCAGGTCTATTTTGGCAGCTAGTCTCTCTCTGGCAAACACATCAGGATAATGGGTTCTCTCAAATTCTGGTAGAAAAGAAACCCATGGAATTTGCATTAAAATAGGTTTCTTGCTTTTAACTTTCTGAATATTCTGAGTCCACTTGGCATTCTAAATCTTTTATAAGGAATATCATCATGGGAATGCTTTGAACAAGATCATATAATGTGGGTTTGATTCAAAAAGGTGAGATTTCTGAATCAAGCAATTCATATTAAATCATATGATTACAGATTGTGTAATGGCTGACTGGGGAATTCTGGGAGTTGAAATCCACATATCTTAGAGTTGCCAAGGTTGAGAAACACTGCCCTAGAGTAATTTTCCCATGCTAACTTTCAAGACGATTTCAAAAAACAAGTCTGTGAAATCCAGGCCTCAAATCACACAAATCCCAAATCAACTATACATTGGGCGCAATCGAGTTGAAGGATGATGGACTGATATTTGTGCATATTTTATGATCTGAAAAGGGGAGATGCAAGATTGCAGCTGAGAGTCTCATATCAAAGACATGACCACACTGTGGCTCTGAGATATTTTTGAACTTCCAGTTTCAAATGATTGCAATGCTGCTTGTATAATCACTTCATCTCTAAGCTATAAGAAAGATCACATTGCTAGAGTTTATCAATGGACATCTTCATCTCTGTCCCAGATTGATCATACCATGCCAGGAGAGAAAAGGCAGTAAAGTAGATTACGGGTCCCTTGTTCTGACTTTTGATCATGAAAAATGAGTCTCACCTTTCTCAAGTGCTTCAATTTGTTCTTGGGTAAAGGACGTCCGATTTCTCTGCAGCTTTCTTTTCAACTGGAGTCTCATCTGGGCCTCATCTGAATCTTCTCCATTTGAACTGATGGAATTGGTATTTTCGCCCCCTCCTTCTTGCTGTGGGCAGCCATCTGCAAAACAAAGAGGAAACTATTCTAAGAAAGACCGTGCTGAACTGATATGCCATAGCAAACACAGTCAACTATGTTTCAGGATCTCTCTTTTTTATTATCCTCAAGAGACAATACAGTAAACCAATTGCTCATTCCAGCAGAGGTATACCCTATGTTGAATAATAATTCTTTTGTAGCTCAATCCGTATATCACTTATTGGGATTTAAATTTGTGTATGCGCTAATCCAAAGTATTTAATATGCTACTTCTCCAGTCTATGTTTCATTGACATGGCATCTTGCTAATTTATACATGGTCATTTTGATCCAGTTTGGCTGCAGGACATGAAAATGTTGTACCCAAAGGATGTTCCTGAAATTGGCACTAAACTGAAATGCAGGGAAAGCTTGTAGATGTCAGGACTCTCTGTGTGCATTGTAGCAGATATGGTGATCAGAAGATGGTTAGAACTGGGGTGACTACAGTATCTACTACAATTATTTGTCTGTTCTGAAGAATACAGAGAATTCCAGAATGGGGAATTTTGGAAGGGCAATTTAGTGACTTCTTCTAAGCAAAAATCAATCTGGGATCCTTAAATGGAATGGAGATAGGACAAAAGAGAGATAGGACTTATTCCTTTCCATAATCAGTGATCTTCAAAGTAGTTGGCAATAAAACACTAATCAATATGTAACAATGGGGAACAAAAACATGTTCCAAGGTAGAAATATCCAGTTCAGAAATATCTAAACAACATTTTAAAAATACAGCTGGATAAATGTATTATTTTTGCCCCTTCTCACATACAACAAGCTAAAGAAATTGTTCAGATGAGTATGGGGCAACTTTTCCAACATGCTTTCCTAAGATATTCTTTCAATGAAATTTATTTACCTATTGGTACATTTAGAATAGTGATGCTCACTTTTTTGGATTATCTATAATCAGTAATTCCTATCTAATCAATTAGATGTTGATAGGTTTGCAGAAAATGCTATTAAGAAGCCAAACCAAGCTTGTAATCTTTTTAAAAAAATATTTATCTAGTTTTGATTTGAATTCTGCACAGTCAATTTCATTTTAAAGGTTGTGGATTTAGAAGTGCCTGCATTGTTCTGCAGTTTTATTCAACTATTGTATGAGTGTGCATTGCCTTGACACCTATTACAGAGCACAGCTGTAATTATATCATCACCAAGAACAGGCTATAATTGCTGAAAATGGAATTTTATATTTAGATAAAAGGACTGTCCATTCTTTGTAATGTGTTGCACCAGAGAAAAGTAAGATTTCTTTTAAAATTTTAACATGTAATTTTAACAAGAAATAGTAGCGAGTTCGCTAAGTAGCTAAATATGCTATTCTGCAGCTGAGCGCTTGGCATATCATTTAAGTGGTACATTTTTAATTAGGGCATTTCCACCACTTTTAATGTAATTTCTATCATTAAACAAGAGAAAGTTTTATTGTTTTCACATAGCTGCTGGAGGTAAAGATATGCTCCTGGTTGAGCTGTCTTTCAAAGTGTCTGCAGACCCTGAGGAAAATGGGGGGGGGGTGGAGAGAAAGGTTTCTTCCTCTCTTTTTTCTGCTTCTCCTCCCCACCGTTTTTTTTTTTTTTTTTACAAAAGAAATGGTCATTCCTGTAGAAGGAGAAAAGTTGTCACTAAATTAACTCTCCCTTTCCTTTCAGAGCATAATTTGGAGTGGTTTTGAAGTAGCTAAATAAAAATAGAACAAGAGTTTCTTTTGATACATATCCTGAAGAAGAAAGATGAGAGGGAGAAAGTTATGTGAAAAAGAAACGAACAGCCTTTTCTTTCTTCTAGCCCAGAAAACAGATTTTTGTGGGAAATCAACTTTAGAGTAATATATCGCTTATAATCAGCCAACAATGGAGTCTAACCTTCAAAGCTCTAAAGAGAATTGTGACAGGATCTGGTAGAGATCTTTTCAAACACTTTGAAATGTTGTAAAACCTCAACTTTCTCCCCCATTTAAACAGTTGGATTCATCTCCAGTGGTCACCATATGGGTGTTTGGAGATCTATTGAGATGACCACCACCACTTGAATAGCAAGGGGGGGGCTGCTTTTCACCAGGACACAATGCCAGCAGAGTAAAGGAAACTATTAAACTCTTGGGGCAAGGAGGAGGGTTGGCAAACTTTCGTGGGCAGAATTTTGAGGACACAATCAGGCAGGCCCAACAAAAGGATTCTCTTGAGGCGTGCAGTGGCCCACATTGTATCACAAGGATCCCAGTCAACAGACTTTTCAGTGAAGTATGTTAACCTTTAGGCACTACTATCATTAATCACTGTCCCCTGGGCTGGGCTACTCAATGCTCTTTAGGGTTTTTTTCCCCTTCTATAGGAGCCAGGGAAGAAAGAAAGAACACCCCTAAACTGGTGAATAGACCAGCTCCACACATTCAGCCTGTTTACTCAACATGGGAGGGGGGAGAGAGGAGGGGGAGAAGAGAGAACTACTTAGCTTAGATTAAGTAAGCTTCAACTAGCAGAGAAGGGTCTAAGACAAGAGCCCTGTTTCTATATATTAACCAAAGGTGATCACTGACTTTTAATGCTTTTTCAGGGTAAGGACTTCTAGGTTGATATTTTTGTGAAAAGGAACAGCAGCTTTGTTGCCCCACAGCCTCTAAGCCAAGCTGCTGGGATTCTAGGACCGGCCTTTACAAAAGGTTTGGCCCCCTTAGCTCCGCACACCAGCGTACCTCTCCCGCGGTCAGGGCCCCGCTTTATGTCCAAGGTGGCTGAGGCGCAGCGCAGCCAGAGGCTATAGCCGCTCGCAGCTGAAGAGAGGCCTCTCTCCTTTCTCCCGCGGCGCCAGGGTGCCCGAGCAACTCACAGGAAGGTTTGGATTTGGGGAAGAGGAGTGCCGTGAGAGGGATCCGGATGACGGCCCTGGACCACTCTCCCGGCCTGCCTCAGATCCGCCCCGGATCGCCTGGTGGCAAAGACGTGGCGGAAGAGGCGCCATTTGCTCCGCGGTTGACGCGACTTCGCGGGCGAGGCGAGGAGCCTCCAGACAACCACCTCGATTGGAGGGCAAGCCCTGAATCTTCAGCGGCCTTCCTCATACAAGGAGAAACCAAAGATGGGGGCGGGGGAGCGTCATGTAGGCTTGTTCGGGATTAAGCCTCCAAGGAGATCTCAAAGAGCTCCCTGTTCAACCATTACGAGTTAACCTTCCATCTGGCCGAAGCGGCGACAGGTTTGGGCGCCTTGGTGGGTCTTTTTGTCACCCAGCCCAAGCAAAAGAAAGCCAAGCGGGGAAGCGGGAATAGAAAGGAGCCGAAATTCGGCTGACCCCGCTTGTGGATCGGGCGGGAGACCAGCCGCGCCCTGCCGGGTCTCCCCGAGGCCCCTCGGTCCCCTTCAGGTCGACTTCCCAATTGCTGGGCTAGGCCAGGAAAGGCCAGATCTCTCTGGCGGGTCCCCTGGCTCGCTCGGCGGTTCTCCCTCCGGCCAGATGGGGATCCAAGCGCCGGGTGTCGCGTCATCTGTTGTCAGCTCGCCAAAGGGGACGAGAAGGCAGCTCCGTTTACAGCTGAAGAACAAGAAATAAAGCAGCCTCAAACCGAGGTGTGTGTGTGTGTTGGGAGTAACAAGAAAAATTGGCGGCTTTTCAGCTCAAAGGTTAGAGAGACTTGAAAAGAAATCAACAAATACATCCTCCAGAAGGCTGTCTGTCCTCGCTCAACCGGCATTAAAGACCGCAAAGGTTAGGATCCAACTCCATTAACATCAATGGAACATTCTCCATTGACTTCAGTATGATGTGCATTCCCCCTAAATCAAGATTTTCTTCCAATAACATTTATGGCGACTTTTTCGTTCTCTTTCATCTCTTTTCTTCCCTCCCGCGCCTCTCCTCCTCAAAACCCCACTGATGTCTGTTAACTCTATTTAAAGTTTTGATCGGGAACGACAGATATGTTTTAAAAAGAAAAAGAAATGACAGACAATTAAGATATCTTGCTTTCTTTTAAAGAGAGACTTTAAGGGAAAAAGCTTTATAAAGGAGCGAACTCAATAGTCCGTTCCACCTTCTCTGGACCTAATCCGTAAGAAAGCGAGTGAATATGCTGCCCCTATTATCTAAAAGCTAGACCATCTGACGCTGGGTATAGGATTTGTTTCCAGGAAAGAAAAAAAAAGGGGTGGGGGGATAAAAGACGCTGGGAAATAAAATCATTCCTTAGTTTCTTAGTGTCTTAATCAGTGAGGCGGAAAACTAGCAGAGAAAAAAAACCGAGCAAGCAAGAAAGATAGCAAACCGATTGCGGCACCTTTCAGCTGCGGAGCTGGGATCAAAACATTGTAGCATCTGTTGAAAGAGAAAGTGTCTAAATCCTATAGAAGGCTTTAGTCTTATAAGGAGGGGAGAAGGGACCCAGGCGG